GCCAAGGAGCCCAAGGAGAAGAAGGCTGCTGCTCCCAAGAAGGCCGCCGCTGAGAAGAAGGAGACTAAGAAGCCTGCTGCCAAGAAGGCCGTACGTTCTCATCTTACACCCTTCGCACAATACACGTACTGACATGTTCATCAGGACAAGCCCGCTGCCATCTCCAAGACCAAGACTGGTCGCGTCACCAAGACCGAGGCTAAGAAGCCCGCGGCCAAGAAGGCTGCCGCCAAGAAGGACGAGGCCAAGGCTGAGCCTGCTGCCGCATCTGCGTAGAGCGTTGTTCTTCGTCGTCGTCTTCCTTGACGAATGCAAGCATGCTCTGGTCACGAATCTTTCTTAGGTCCAAACTGAACGGCGTTTACGGGAGTATTGCTCGATTACTTGGCGGGAACAACAATGGGGTTTCAAATGGGATCCGGGCAACGGTGGTGGGAACAAACCAAAGTTTTGACTCTTGACTTGTTGAAAGAAGGGATCATCGGGTTGGGACGAATGTGTCTTGTCGTTTCTGTTTTCTACTGTTTTTTTTTTCACCCTCGGTCGCGTTGCGCGCGTTGTTTGAGACGGGTTCGGCGGATCCCGGACGGCGACGCCCTCTCACTATTGTAACTATAGCTCACGCGATTATACCAATGACGAGACTTTTCACTGTTCAATACTCTGTTTCTGTGGTGGAAGTGCGAGATTTTCAGTCTTGGTCACGCCTCGGAGCGCGACGAGTTGGCAAGGCTGGACAATCACTTCGCGTACTTACGACGCTCCGAAACACCGCCGCGCCCTGCCTGTATCATCTTTCTCTGGATGGCAACTCCAGTCGATTGTCGACGATCTACCCTTATCATAACTCGGGCGCAAAGAAACTGCAAAATGCTCCTTCACGAAAGGAAGCGCAACTCTTATCAGCGGAGCTCTGTTGTGATCTCACGGTCGGGGATGGCGATGGTTGACGAGGGCCCAAGCCCGTCAGAGGCGGTCAGGCCGGTGGTCAAGTCAAGTCACGTCAGGGGGGCTACGGTACGGTACAGACCAGACGGCGCGGCCGGCGCGGCTATGAATTATTGTACTACCTTTCTACAAGCAGAATGGAAGGGTTATTTCGTTTGATGTTCGTCTTGGGTCCGAGCAAGCACAACGGAAATGAAGAGGAGACCTTCTGGGGAAAAGGGGAGAGAGTGAGAGCAGAGGCGGACGGGGTGCGACGTGCCGGAGGGCCGCGTGGGAGTTTCGGGGTGGGGCTGAGAGACAGAGAGAGACAGACAAGACGCGGTCGGTTCATGGGTTTGTTTACATTTTGGGGCGAGTTGAGGTGAGCTCCGGGCGTGTCACGGTCGGCTGGTCAGGGATGTCACGTGCCTCCTCCGCCGGCCGCCCGGGATCCTTCGGGGAGTTATTTCTAGAAAGCAAGAAGTGCCTGCGGTGTTTTGGCTGTTGCCTGGTGCTTTTCTCGCGACGTTGTGATGCGAAAGAGATTTGTTGCATGGTGGTTCAGTTGTCGGTATGGCTCGTTGGTTGTGGGCTGACTTGGCCTGGCGTCAGATGAGACTTGAACCGCCCGCTGACCCTATTGGACGCGGCGTTAATCGCAACATCGACTCAGTCAACTTGGCTGCACAGACCGCTGGACGAACACGCTTTTGGTGAACGCAGGTACCAAGCCCTTCCCAAGATTCTGGAAACTCGAGGTTTGGAGGACGTGTCGCGGAGTATTTTGAGCATGGTTTTCACGGGTTGATTGCGTTGTTTGGACTCTTCCCTGGACTTGTCGTCAGCGTGCCTGAGTGGACGTCGCCGTTGGGTTTTGTGATGCACGACGACGGCCACGGCGAGTTCTAGGCAGGGCGGCCGTCTGACACGTGCGGCGAGCGGACGGCGCCACACCAGTGGCCGGGACCCGTCCCATCCACACCGATCATACGGATCTTGAGCCGGGCAGAGGGGCGACTTTTGTTGGGCGAGCGTCATTTGATCATCTGACTTGCTGCTGTCACTGACGATGAGGGTCGTCCGCTCGTTTGCACGGAGGAACAAGATCAGGGCCTGACAGGCGGACTTAGAACTGCTGGTGCAGTCGAGTCATATTGACCGGTGCCTGCCGCTCCACTGCTGAGAGTTCTCGTATGTTGGTCATCTCTAGAGATCTCAGTCATCTTTACGACGAGAACGCGCACAGTAAACGGCGATGCTTATTAGGCTTCAGGTGGCGATGCGGGGAAGGCTGGCTTGAAGAAAAGGCAAAGCGAGACAGGGCGAGCGAGCGGGTGGGCGGCTACGGGCCATGGTGCAACGGTGTCAAATGTCGAGCTCGGAGACCAGAGACGCAGGATTTCACCGCGGCCCAAGGGCACCTCTGTGTGCGCCGTCACCGTCACACCAACGGGTGGTGGTCCTGGTGCTGGTGTCGGTGCTCTGCAGCTCATCAGTCGGCCGGGAGCAGTGCGCTGCAGGTTGCGGCAAGTGCAGAGTTGAGAGGTGATTGTTCCGTAGCGGAAGAGAGGTGGGCGTGCTGGATGTGCAAGGAGTGACGTGGATAGCTAGCCCCGAGCTTGCTTCCCATTGGTGTTCCTGAAACAAACCTTCATGTTTGGAGGGGGAGGACAGAGAGAATTCGGGCTAGGGGTCGAGGGAGGTAGCGGGTACATGGGGTACTTTGTGCGAGTCTTGTTAGGTGAGGTGTGTCGAGACGGGAGCTGGGCTGATGAGTGACGTGCAAGCGCCGACGAGGTCGATGGATGATGGGTGCGGCGGCATTGAGCTGTCTGTCAGAAGCGGCGAGAAGAATCCGATGAATCGAGTGTCACTGGGCAGCGGGATTCTGGTTTAATGCTGAATGGCAGATTCCGTTGACCATGTCCCCTACCGGCGCTGGTTCCGGGTCGGGATCCCTGTCGTCAATCCGGAACACGACGAGCGACAGGTGCAGGGTGCAACCGTACAGGCGGTTGGGGGCCTGATGATGGAGCGAGTGAGTGGTCGAGGTGTTGATGATGGAGGAGGGGTCGTGTCGAGGAGCTGAGGCTGGGATGGAGCATGATGTCGAGGGTCGAGGTCGAGGGGATGTGCTTGTCTGCAAGTCACAGTGTGGCCGGTGTGAGGCGAGATGGGAGGAGAAGCATTGGGTGACGAGAAGAGACGAGGCGAAGAGGGTGGATGGAAGCTTTGCATCTAAAATGAGAGACGAAGAGGCTCGAGGATGATGTTGAGAGAGAGAGGAAACAGTGTGAAGCAGCACTAGAGGAGAGACCTGATAGTGAGGTGCAGTACGCACTGATCAAACAGCAGCGTTCAGAGAATGGCGCCGGTGGTGTTAGTGGCTGGCCTGTGCGATGCGATGCCCATGTTGCTTCCCGTCCGTTTCGGGGTATGTGGGGAGGAGGGACCTACCTACCTGCGTACCTTTCCTTTTTGCCCGCTAGGGACGCAGTGCCATCGACATCGACAAGAGGGCAGGAACAGAAACGGGAGAGAAGTACCGACCGTGTAGCGATACGGGGCATATGCGTGGCAGGTACCTACCTTACTTTGAGGGGTTCCTTCATTTTGCGCCTGTGCTACGGTACCTCACTTTGAAGCATTCTCCGACGGCAAGCACGAGGCAAGAGACAGCAACCCAGGAAAGAGCGCGGTGCAGATGCAAGCACCTCAGTCGAGACTTGCCTCCGTTGCTGCTATTGCTGCTGCTGCTGCTGCGGGTTGACCGAGCTGCACTGAATCTGGAACAAGAAACTGCAATTCTGCAACTTGAGGAAAGTGGGCATCAAGGATCCAAGACCAAGACTGGCGGGTGTGACCAACTCATGCAATTGTGAAAGTATGTGAATTGCAGAGGAAGGAAGGAGTCGTCGGCAACGACGTGGACGTGGACGTGGAGGGATTTCATCATCCTCCCCCACCCAGGTCCCATCAAAAGTGTCGTCAATCACCACCGTCCACCGTCTGTCGCTTCGCTACCACCCGCTTCCCAGCAAGGCACCACCCTACCTTACCCTACGTGCCTGCCCGCTTATTGCCTCCCCTCGTCCATCATCTGCATCGTCCGCCCTACAGATACCAGTACCTGCGATAAGCAAATACTGATAACTGCTGCGACTCTACGCCTACCTTATCCGTATCTCCCTCGCTCTCACTCCCTTCCTCGCACTTCGCACTCTGCCTCTGACCCCCCCTGCTCCAATATTCCCTGGCTCAAATCCCAGGCGGCCCCCCCCCAAAACGAGAGAAGGCCAGGCCGTCATCCAACCAGCTTCCCCTCCTCCTGTCCAATCTTGTCTTCCACCGCCCAAAAGAAGCCGGCCGACCTGATCGCAAGCCAACCCAACGACGTCGAGACGGCCACCACCAGCCAGCACTGCCACTACACCACCACCAATTTCCACCGGCTATACCTTAATACCTCACCTCAGCATATACCAGATACCAAGCAATAGATTCCAGACACCAGACACCAGACACCACCCAGCCAGTAGTTCTCAGGTATCTGCTCTACGTCGACCACCGACCGATTAGTCCCGCTGCCGCCGTCGGGCACAGCTCTGTCGTCTGCTGTCGCATATTCGTCTGCTGCCAACATTTCTAACGCTCGAATCCCCGTTGCTTAGATACATTGCAGGTAAGCAGAGAATGGCCCCCGTTTTCCCACTTGGTCTGCCCGTCATCCCGACCCCAAAATCCAAAACTCCGTCGCCTTGCGATTGCACTGTCTCCCTACCGATTCTTCCGGCCGCCTCGACTGACACCGCCCGCAGTCCCCGAACCCCCTCCAGTTACCAATCCGACACTCCAGCTCCTCCCCTCGTCCAACAGTACCGCTCCATAATCGAGTTCCTCTCTCTCCACGCCGGAAATCCTCCATCTCGCTGTTGCCTACGTACACAGCGTCATCCTGGCGATTACGTCCTTCCCTCGGGAGTTGACGATGGCGGCTGCCTAATACTTGCCTCGACATTTCTTGCACGACTTGAACCCACTCCGCCCTTCCCGAACCACCGCCCGCCGCAACCATGGCCTCCGAACATAACCCCTTCCGCAGGAAGACCACCTCGACTTCCTTCTCTTCTACCCCTCAGCCTGTCACAACATCTGCCTTTCTCGAATCCATCACATCCGGAATCTCGAGGGATAACGCTCCCTCGCCTCCCGAAGTTCGACCTGCGAAAGCCAAGGTTGTCAAAAGGGTAAGGGTGTTGTCTCCGCCGCCCTCCTCGCCTTCCTCCCCCGAATCGGTGCACAGTAGAGGCTTTGGTCGTCAAGACGACAGTAGCGACGACGGCTCAGACGACGATGACGACCAATTCTCAAAGAGGTTTCCCGAGCTTCCCGACGGCCTTCCTGAGGCTGCGCCGCTGCGCATCGCCAACGCCGTCCCCAACCACACGCCTGAAAACCCCTTTGGTAAGACGTTGCAGGATCTGGAAGGCCTGACGGACGGAAAGGCCTCGTCTGGCGGGGCAGCCAAATCCCTCGACGTCAATGCGTTCAAGATGCTGCTGCTTACCGGCCAACCTGGAGCTGGAATACCGGCTCAAAAGGCACAATCCCAAGGCGACAGGGCTGCAGAGGCCGCAAATGCGTCCGGATCAGATACGTCTTTCGCGGAGACGCCCCGGTCATCAACGGACATCGCGGACCGCGGTATCATCCTTGCTTCACCTCCGACAAAGAGAAAGCCCCCTCCGCCAAGTTCCAGGCATGGAAGGAAGATTAGCGTTCAGACGCCAGAACGACCTCACATCTCATCTGAGACGGCATCGCCGATCTCTCCGTCCGATGTGAACAAGCCCCTCCCTCCCGCTCCCAGCTCGTATGGTGGGGAGGGGACGGAAGATGTCTTTGCCCGAGAGGCCGCGGGCAAGATCCCCGATCAGGATTCCCCCACTCCCAGTTCGACACCCACCCCGGCCACGTCGGTGTCGGCGAAAAAGCCAACGCCAGCACCCCCACCACGACGGGGCCACGCGCGGAGCCAATCCCTCACGGCGTCCGCCGGGGCCAATGTCCCGAGCAAGGCGGGCAATGAGGCCGATACGCCGCCTCGGTCTTCGTTGGAATCGCAGCGCTCGCGGTCGGAGAGTTTCCGGAGTATCAATGCCCCTGCGCCACCCCCGCCACCTCGGCGACCGAATGCATCACATCGCCAGTCGTTCCAAGCTTCACCGTCAGCGGCTTCGTTCAGCCCTGTACCGTCCGACCTTGAGAACACTGCGTCGGGCAACACTCCCCCAAAGATCTCTCCGCCGCCACCACCTCCCGCGCGGAATACTTCGACACGCCGTCCTCCAAGCGTGAGAAGTTTTGACGCAACGAGCAGGAAGGTGAGCGGCGGAAAAGAGGGAGCTCCTCCGCCGCCTCCACCTCGACAACGAGGGAGCAGTCGCGGAAGCATGGATTATGTAAGAAGGCCAAGCGTTGATAGTACGAGAGGATTTAGCACGAACGTGCCAGAAGAGCCAAGGACAGAGGACCTGGCACAGGATTATGAGGCCAATTTTGGCAAAGGTGCAGACATTCTTGCCGATTTGGACGCGCTGCAGCGTGAGGTAGACGCTTTGAGGGCGCAACAGGCGAAGTAGGACGCATGTCTGACGGCGCGATGATAGATGGTTGGTGTTGGAATAGAAAGGCTGCCGCCAAGCGGACAGCCATGCCCTCGAGGGGCAGCTGGATATTTTAAACCAGGCTTGTACATTTACGGATTACCAGGATGCGACATGAGTAATGGAATGGTTATGAGTTGCACTTATCAAAATCGTACAAGGAGCCATGGGCCCAGGACCGTGTAGCCGAACCATCGATACTCATCTCGCGAGACTTGTGTTAGGCTTTTCAAGACGCCAAACTCTGGCATGAAGAGCAATCAACCAACCACCTGCGCCAGCATTTGTGATAAGCCAGCTTTGAAAAAATCACAAGGTGGGCTGCTGTGACAGACGCAGGAGGAGAAAGGATCGACAGTGGTCTTGGTGTGACAAATGATCAACCCTCCACGCCCTTCTTGCAGACGGGTGAAATGTCATTGGTCAATTGATGCCGCGCCAAACTGGAGAAACTCTACGCAGTTTGGGTGACGGTGTTTGCAAGACTGTCTGAGCGCGATGGTCAAGGGAACGACATGTCCTGGGGTCCAAAGAGGCGTGATCTTTGTTGCTCGAGGCGATAGCCGGCCAGGTGTCGAGTTATAGAGCAGAACGCGGGACCTCAAGAAGTTTCTTCGTGGTTTCTTCTGCGCGTTGGAGCATATTCCGCCAAGACAGGATGATGTTAAGAAGAAGAAGGAAGACTGCTCGAATGAAAGCTCTGAGTTCTGCAAAGGTTCTCTTCCCCTTTGCTGATGTTCCTACGTTGGCGGGATGCGCGGTAGCGTTTGAGGTTGAGTGCCCTTGGCACATCTGGGCCTGTTCTGCTAGCTGGATTAGCTGCGGCTCTGTGGTTGATGATGACGTTTTGACATGTTGGGTCTAAGGAAATGGTTTACTGAAGCTAAAGACTGGTAGCTCCGCCTCCTTGGACCTTGGCTAGTAGTGTTCAACCTTGAGCAGTGGATTTTGGTGCCAAGTTCTGAAGGTTTGTTCTGTCCGAGTGTTCAGTTGTAGATATCTGGGGAGACTCTTCCTCGTCATTACTTTGCTTTGACCATGTTATCCTAGGTCCTAAAGTCAAGTGAAAAGTGATATTAAACTTGCACGATCACGATCTAGTTGAAATATAGCAATGCTGTCTAAAAGAATAAACTAAGGGCGATCATAATTTGGATTCACACGGTTAGTAGAGGCAAGAAGACATTACCCCCATTTCTCCTGTGCTAGAGCTTTTCTATGTGCTCGCTATCATTGTTACTATTGTCGTTATCTATCTTCGTCGTCGTTATTATTATCGCTTTTTGTCTTCGTTATCTATTACTATCGTCCTTCGTCGTCATCCCTTATTATTATCTCTCGTCGTCATGCTCATAAAAGTGACCATGTACATAGAAAATATAGCCGCCTAGACACAAGAAAATTAGGCGGTCTCTAGGAATACACTCCGTTGCGTTGACAGCGTCCACCCCGCAGTTTTTAGCCCGAAAAAGGCAAAAAAAGGGGCTTTTTACCAAAAAACCACCAAAACGCCCTAAACTTCGTACACTGATACCTCTATGCGTACGTAATGCGTGTAAATGAAATATATATCAATCGATAGCCCTCGATTAGGTGATTATAATGATATCTTTTTTATTCTCGCGCATTGCGTCCGCATAGAGTTATCTAAGTGTGAAGTTAAGGCTAATTTTAAGGGGTTTTTAAGGAGGACACTGTGAACACTACGTACAAGGGGTTTCGTTTTTTCTTTTCAGCGTTGCGTTTAGTGTCCGCTAGCCTAAAAACCCCCTAAAACCCCCTAAACTTCACGCTTAGATAACTCTATGCGTACGCAGTGCGCGTAGATAAAAAAGATATCATTATAATCACCTAATTGAGGGCTATCGATTGATATATATTTCATTTACACGCATTACGTACGCATAGAGTTATCTAAGTGTGAAGTTTAGGGGGGTTTAGGGGGTTTTTGGGCTAGCGGAAAATTTTCCTTCCGGGTCAAACTTGGGGGCGGACGCTGTCAACGCAACGGAGTGTATTATTGGTAATATTTCATAAAGATATCCCTCCCACACATATTATTGATAAACTGCGGTGTCTATCTGACCTCCTAAGAACTTGTATCGATTTTTTGACTGATATTTAGGGATTCTCCGCAAAAGAATTTTCTTTGGAGAAAACAAGGTCTGAAAATCTAAAGTTGTTTTGACAGCTGCTGTCTTTTGTGGTATTCGACGAACGTTGGTTCATTAATCACGTCAAATTATGAGTAATACTGATATCAAGAACAAGCGGCCCACAGAAATACATCAAACCTCGACAAGAGGGGCCCATGTGGGTAATCTTATTTAGCCCAACTACAACCAGAATCATGCTTTCCTGGCCTTTCAGGATCAATATTGATCTTCCATGTGAACAGGTTCCGTAGATGAAACAGATTACGAAAGACTTGTAGAAGGTGTGAGGCAACATTGTCTTCTTGTATAAGTAAGTACTAGGCTCGAAGCATAGCAATCCTCCGATGTTGAACTGTATATCTAAGTGAGATGAGGCCATCACAAAAACTTCTTGAGTTTGCCATGTCTCTCACAAAATATGTGTAAGGCATTCATGTACAGAGTCCCGGCTTTAGCCATCCGGATTTACGCGCCTACTTCTTCAACGCGGCCGCAATGGCGTTGTACGCCGGCTTGGGGTTCCAGTTCTCGTCGAACAGCAGAACCTTCGCGGAAGCCTGCCAAGATTGCTACAAAGATATTAGCTGGTTTTGCCGATCCGGTAAGGCGCGTTCCTCTTACCTTGTCGCTAACTCCCCACACCGTGATGCCGCGGCACTTGGGCACGTTGACACACGCGTTCACGACCTCGGCGTACTGCGCCGGCGGAGCGTTGTTGATGTCGAGCTCGGTGATGGCGATCTCGGACACCTTGGCGGTCGCCAGCAACTCCAGCGCGCCCTGGATCTTGCTCGACATGTTCTGCGCGAGATGGCACTGGGAGCCTGTTCCGCGTTTTCATCAGTTCATGTCCACTTTTGATCACTTCCTACTCAAGAGCATACCAATGCCGTCAATGGGGATGCCCTGCGCGATCCACTGGTTGACCTTCTTCACCACCGCGGCGGGCTTGCCCCAGTCCTTGTTGTCGAGGTTGTAATCGTTGATGTAGAGCTTGGCGGTGGGGTCGGCAGCGCGGGCGGCCTTGAAGGCGATGCCAACGTAGGACTCGCCCAGCACGTTGAAGAAAGTGGTGTTGCGGAACGTGCCGTCGTCGTTGAAGATCTCATTGACGACATCCTTCATGTCCGGCTTAGTGAGCAAAAACATATGAAAACCTGGGCCAGAAAACCACTTACCCAGGACCTGATCTTTCCCTTGTAACGGCCAACAACAGTGCTGATGTGGTTTTGCAAAACACTGGTCATGGTCTTCTTGTCCCTGATCGCCGAAACCCACGTGGGAAGGGCCTGGTGCCACAGCAGCGTATGTCCACGGATAGACTTGCTATTATTCGTCGCCCAGTTGACAAGGAAATCCGAGTTCTCCCACGAGAACTTACCCCGCGTGGGCTCCGTCGCATCCCACTTCATCGAGTACTCGGGCGTGACCTGTCCAAAGTTGGCCTTGATGATGGCCTCGGTCTTGCCCTGCTGCATGATGCCATTGTCGCCGGAGACGCCGATGAACAGCTTGCCCTTCCCCTTGGCCTTGAACAGAGTGTCGATGCTGACGGCGGCCTGGCGTTCGGCGAGGTGGTGCGCGTGCTCGTGGGTGGTCGCGATGCGCAGGGGCGTGGCGATGGCCAGCGGCGCGAGGAGGAGCGCCAGAGAGAACTTCATGTTTGTAAGGAGTGGCTGTCGCGACGAGGACGACGGAAAGTGAGTGTGAAAATGAGCGTGTGGAAACGAACGTGGTGAAGGAGTCGAGGACGGTCCGTCAGCCTCAACAGGCGACTTCGCAGTATTTGTTCCGTTTGGCCATGTGTGGTAAGGTTACTCTCGGTGGAGCACATTCCGGATCTTTTGGGGATCTTTTGTCTACGGGGGGTGACCTTGGCAGACAGGGCAACTCAGATATAGTGGTCTAAATTGGTGCCTAGACTGGGTCGACAGGGAATGGGCATTGAGGCTCCGGGTTGTCGGAAATGGGGGTCGTTCGTTTGATGGCGTTGTGTGTGTGATGCTGGCGAGGGCGTTGTGTTTGCACTGGAATGGACGCGTGCTTGTGGTACGTTGGTGGCTGTCGTACTAAATCGGTCTGTTGCTGTGGGACATGCATTCCGCCGAAGTGATTGTTTCACTGCGGGCATCACGACTTCAGCTGCCAAGGTCTTGACTCTTGCAATGGTGTTTTTCTGTGATAAGAGGTTTGTTATGGATGGCCCTGAGTTACTTAAGCACTGACTCCCGGTCGTCCCGATGACAGGAGACTTCAAGAATCGCCGTAGCGCCGTTCCAAGATTAGGCATGCCTGCAACGCTGGGCCCCAGAGTTCGGGGTGATTACTTTTATATACGATCGTCCATCCCACTCGGTTTCGCACATTTTGGTGGTCCGAACCATGAGTTGGAAAGGGGAAAATGAGATTCACTCATCGAGGGTCCAACGCACTGACCACTTGCAGTTGTGAAGTCGGAGCCCAAACGTCAGGTTCAAATCCATCGACGGCGATGACGGACTTTAGAGGCATGCGGATTTAATCTAATAATAAACTCCGGCATCATCATGTATAAAACTTTGACGTCTTGGCAGCAACCATGAGACTTTTGAGATATTTTGAAGCATCTCGAAATCCAAATTCACAAAGGCGCGATTCATTACCGGCAAAAAGCAATATCCCACACTATCCCACACCATCCCACAGGCAAACTCTATTTCACCCCTAATATCCACCGCCATGGCTTCATCAAACAGCACGGCCCTCCTGGTGATGGACCTGATCCACAATATTGTCAACAGATTGCCGGAGGCCGGCAGAGAGGAGTACAGAGGACGCGGCCAAAAGTATTCATACATCCCCACTTTTAATCACAGTACGGCTAACTAGAAGCTAGCTAAACTTTAGCGCTAGCCCCTAGCGCCTCTAACGACCCCTCTACTCTATTTTAATATATATAGTTAATTTTACTATTACTAAGATTATAAAAAAATACTGAATTTTTATTATACTACTAAAAATACTTTATATAACGTAAATATTATATTTCTAAAACTATATTTAATCTCTCCTATCCTCTTTTATTTAGATTTTTACTTTTCTATATTAAAATTATTTATATTATTAATTTCTAACTATTCTACTTCTTTAGTAGTATATATAGTATATTTACTAGCTTTATAATCTAAGTTAAGATTATTAAGCTTATTAATTATCTCTTACTATAAATTATTATTATTTACTACTATAATATCTAGCTAAACTAAAAAAATATTAATCTTAATATATAGTATTACTTCTTTTTTTATTATTAATATTAATAAAGTTACTCCTTTTTTATATTTATTACCTCTTTTTAGCTAGATTATTTACTAAATATTTCGCTAGATTTACTCTATAAAGTACTATAACTTCTTAAATAAGAAGTTTTTTTAGTTTTCTTTCTATATTTAGGTTAATTTTTAGTAACTATTAATATTAATAAGCTTCTACTACTACTTTAGATATACTTAAAGAGGTTTAATTACTAAGAGATCTAATAAATTAACTAGCTAGCTTATAAGAGTTATACTTAACTTCACTTATAGCTCTTAATTCTAATATAAAGTATAAAAGTTAATATTATCCTCTTATATTACTATATCTAAGTAGGTATATTATTATTACTTAATAAAAGATATAAAAAGTAGCTTTAAAATTAAATATTAATATTAATACTAATTAATATTACTTTTTTTTAAGCTTTATTCTATAGTATTAGTTTTAGCTATATATTTCTACTACTTAAGCTTTAAAAGCTTCCTTTTTAAGCTAGCTACTCTTATAACCTCTATAGCTTCCTATTTTACTTAATTTACTACTTTATAGCGTTAATTATATCTACTTATCTACTATATATATTACTCTTATTTATTTTTTATTTCCTATTACTATATATAGTAAAACCTAACTTTATATTAATAAAAATATCCCTAAAATATAAACTCTTACTAACTTTTCTACTTATATTTAATAATATAGTAATAAAAAGCTTTATAAAGTCTCTACTAAACCCTCTACTTACTATAGATTACTCCTAATATTATAGAGGTCTTATTACTCTATATAACCCTCTTCTAATCCTTAATTATCTAGGAATTATACTATAATACTTACTATAGTTATACTTTCTTTTATTAGTTATTTAGCTTAAACTTAATTATTAGTTTAATATTATAGAAATACTTATTTTTAAAGTATTAATATATAGTTTACTAACTAATTAAGAAGTTATTTTAAATAAATATATAGTAGATTATATTAATAATTTACTATATTAAGTACTACTTAGTTATTAAATTTTTTATTAGAATATCTAAAATTAAAACCTTAAGTTTATTAATAATAACTAATAAGTACCTATATTAATAGCTATTCTTAATATATATATTAAGTATAGCGTTTCTTAGCTACTATTTTTAATCTATAGCTTTTTTATATATTAAAGTAAATATACTTTAAAGTATCTTAAAATCTCTATAGATCTTAATAACTATTAACTTACTTAACCCCTATAAAACTAAGATTAAAGCTTTTATTATAATATTTTATTCTTTTAACTTTACTAATATTAAGTATATATAGTAGTATTAATAGTATTTAGTTTAAAATAAAGATACTCCCCCCTTTAAAGCTAACCTCTAAATAGGATATTAATATTAATATAATAGTATAAGCTAATTTTTACTTAAAATATCCTTATTTTAACGTACTAATATTACTTCTAAAATAGGTAAAAGATTATTTATAGTTTTTATAGCTATAACCCTACTAATAATCGTACGGCGATATAGGCCCCCTGATATACGAATACTTTTAGCCGCGTCCTCCGTACCTAGCCCGCGTGTCCCGCGGCATTGCGGCGGCCCGAGAGAAGAACATACCGGTGATCCATGTCACGATCCACTTCCGCCCCGGATACCCCGAAGTCCCCCGCACCAACCCGTTCTGGGCCCGGATCTCCTCCACCGACGACTTCGTGCACGTCGAGGGCCAGAAGAAGGAAGGGCAGGATTTTGTTGCGGAGGCCGCGCCGAGGGAGGGCGAGATCATCATCAACCGACCGCGTATTTCGGCGTTTTACAACAGCGATTTGGAGGTTGTGCTGAGGAGTATGGGGGTGAAGAATCTGGCTATTGCGGGAGTTGCGACCAGTGGAGTTGTCCTGTCGACTGTTCGCGAGGCATTTGATCGGGATTACGATGTTACGGTTTTGGAAGACTTGTGTATGGATCGAGACGAGGAGGTGCATCGCGTTCTGACGACGAAGGTCTTTTCGTGGACTGGGAATGTGACGAACTCCGAGGAGTGGATTAACAAGTTGTAGATGGTTCCATATTTTGTTGTAGTGAGAGCGTCTTGGAATAGAAGCGCCTGAGCAGGTCAGATGAGAGTTGAGTCTATGCCTGGCCTTTTATGGTCCAGATTGTCGCTGTTGTACAATAACCCGTAACTCACACGTCTCGATGGAGTTTCTCACTAAGTCCCTTAGTTTGCTATTCGAAGGTCTGCATCCTGTTTTACCATAGAGTTGTTGCGTGCTTATGATACTGATCTACGCGAGAAGTGGGATTCCACTATGACTCGCGTTCCCCAACTTACAAATAGGCTTTCAGGAAAATGGGCACGATAGAGGCGTTGCGCTCGATGACATTCACCCAGCAACCAATAGAAAATTTTACATTTGAAAGAGACCGCCTGATCACCCTGGCTGCTCACCCAGCTCGCTTGAGGGCGACAGTAGAAGTCCTAAGAATAAAAGAGACGACGATAGCGACAGCAATAGTAACAACAACAATGACAATAATTACAACGATAACAAGAACGACAACAGAAGCGATAACGACGCCGATGGAGAATGATAGTAATAAGGGGAATATCTGAGCTCACGGGAAAAGTAGTTGCTCTAGCGCAAGAGAAACGGACCACCTCGTATGCTGTTCAACTGCTGGCTACAAACGAGCGAACAATTGTTTGGGCCGTTCGAAAGATGAGCCCGACAGCCATATTACATACTTCAACAGATTATAAGTAGAGTTGATCAAGAACGAGCTCTAGGGGGTAACAAGCTGACAATTAATTTTCCATGGACATGGCCCGACTCTCAGCTATTCTTGGGGGTCCCTCGCTATGGCTTGATACTCGATTGAAAAGTATGGGTTTAAGACAATTTTATCCAATGGCGTTCTGAAGGTTCGATCTGTGCGCAGGATGTCACTTCGATACATTGATCGCCCTGTCTTGAAGTTCCCATCGAGTTCCTCTCGTTCACGCTCTTCGCGCCTCTTACGCCACTTACGCCTTTCGTAGTAGACCAAGTGGGATTGGACTTTGCCAATTGGTCTACCACCGAACAAACGTGGTCATGAAATACATCTCCTGTGGTCCATGACACATAGTTTGCCCTGTGAAGCATTGGGTGAAATCATCTTGGTGAGTAACCGGCAAAGAGGTGCCGTAAAAGGCAAGTAAATCGACCAATGCGGACCCATGTGAGTCATTCGTGACGAATCTCGGCCCCGAAAATAGCGGGCCCGCTCAGAAGCAAACTTGATCAAGTGTTTCTATTGTATCGTTGCGCAACCCGACTTCAGACATGGAAGGGTTCTTGATAAAGTATATTAGGCGTTCGAATTTCAAGGCTTTCTGAAATTCTGGTCGTCCAAAAATAACATCAAATCGACGAAATTGCCACTCAAGAGCAACCTTCAAAATGGACAACGTCAGTGTCACTCACGGTTGCAATGCCAGAAAGAAGGTTGTTGTCGTAGGCGCGGGTATTTCTGGCCTATGTGCAGCCTCAAATCTTCTTGCCAAAGGGTTCAACGTCGTTGTCCTAGAAGCCCGAGATCGCATTGGCGGACGCATTTTAACCGACCACGAAGATGTCGACAACATTGATATGGGTGGGTTGTAGAGAATATGGATGGAAGGTAACTTGCTGTACATTGATCTTGATAGGACGGGTGTTCCCCGCTTGTGTAGGGACTTGTATGGGGTGAAGATCCAGCCCGCCTCGGCGTCCCTTCCTTCTCAAGTTGACGGACTAACACCGGACAGGAGCCGCCTGGATGCACGGCACCTCTTACAACCCCCTCGTCAAGCTCATCTCCAAGCTCAAGATCGACCACTACTACGACGACGGCAACCCGCTCTACTTCACGGAGTTCGGACCCGCCGGCCCCAACTTCAAGGCTAAGAACGTTGCCGATGAGTTTCTGGACTATCTCCACTATTGGATCCAAAAGAACCCCAACGGACCAGACTACTCGGCCGAGGAACACATTCGCAAGTTCGTGGGACAGCATGAGCTTATCACCGATGATAAGCGGATCTGGGCGCCGGAAGCGCTGCGCATTGTCGAGTCAACCCTCGGTCTGGCTCTCGGTGAGATCTCATCCCGATTCTTGAATGACATGTTGCCTCCTCAACGTGACTTGTACGTCAAGGGTGGCTACGATCGCGTGGTGCACCACGTTGCTCAGCCAGTCCGTGATCTGCCGGGCGTTCTAAAGCTGCGCCATGTCGTCCAGAATATCGAGTGGAGTCGGTCGCGGGGCGCTTCACCAGTTGCAGTTCATGCCCATGGTCCTGATGGGAAGCCCGTCGTTTTCGACGGCGACGCTATTGTTGTGACCGTCCCACTTGGAGTCTTGCACCAGAACAAGATCATGTTTGAGCCTTCCATTCCGAAGAGTATCGCCATGGGCATGTCCAGGACCAGCTACGGCACACTCGGCAAGGTGTTCTTCGAGTTCATAGACGTCTTCTGGTCCAAGCAAAACGACAACTTGGTGTATTTCCCAACACCGGCTACTTTGGACGAGGACAGCGAGAAGAACAAATACCCGGTTCTTTCCTACTCTTTCACGGCCACCAACCTGTGGGTCATGACCGGTGCAAAGAAAATTTGCATCCTGCTATCTCCTCCCGTTGTTTACGAGATTGAATCCATGGGCGGCAATCCGGATGAGCTATTTACCTACTTTGAGCCGTTGCTGGAGCTATTCAGAACCGAGCCATACAAATCGCTTCCGAAGATGGTGGATGCAAAGGTCACTTCCTGGACGAAGGACGAATTTGCGGGCAACGGTACATACTTTACTGCGAAGGTTGGAGACGACCCGCGAATTTTATGGGATTCATTGGAGGCTGAGAAGGACTTGCGGCTACAGTTTGCCGGTGAGCACTGTTCCCGTACCGGAACGGGCTGTGTTCATGGAGCATATGAGACGGGCGAAGTTGCCGCGGACAACATATGGAGAATTCTTGGCCGCGAGTAAGCCACGAATAGTTGCTGCCCATGGCTCGCAATCTCGTACTGTTGCAGCCAAGCGGGCGATGAAAGTTGAATAGGGCTGTTTCAGCTGGTGCCCCGTATATCAGACTGAGAATACCCGAGAAGTCAATAGAAAACCCAATGGATTTGAATAGCCTGCCATCTGACTTCAACGATACATGTATTGCGCGTTCCAAGTTCAGCCGGACCGCCCAATGACGATCCGCGCGGTGTTTGAGCCGAGCGGGGCCGTGCCGACGCCTAAGGGTCCTCCGAGGCCCGGTTTCGTGCTCGGTCGGCGTCCGATGGACAGGAAAAACGGGTTCACGGTCGATGAATGACCGTTACTTTGTTCATCAAGCCCTCGCCGGTTGTGGAATGTGGATTGAGCCCCAGACACGGACAAGGTCGATGAAGCTAGGCGCCAAGCTTCGGCCGGCGGCATACTCAATTAGGCATTGGAGGAGCTCAGCTTCGATGCGTGCGGGGTCTCAGCAGCTCGTCTTACAAGGGGCTCGTCACTGCCATGATCCCTGAGAAGAGCTGCAGGCAATGCTGCGGCACAGGGACGCTTTCATTTCCTCGGTCATCGATCGGACGACTGCCTTACTCCTCACCTGAACAACAAACCACGAGGACCCCTCTCGTTGTGTGTTTCGACCCGATCCAACAGATACATCAGAGCTTCCTCCCGATCTCTAACCTGCGTCCTTCGCACCACAACCATCCCCGAATCTGCTGAATGGAAGACCGCTTCATCAAGAACCGCCGCGGACGGTGATTGACCCCATGAACACGACCGCGCAAGACACAGTTACGCCTGGTCCGACTGCGACCGCGCCGCCGGAGACGATTCCGAGCAAAAAGGCGCCCAAGAAACGCGTTCGAAACTTTACCGCCGACGACCGAGCTGCGCATCGGATCTTCGAGAAGGGCCGTCGCGAAGCCTTCAAAGAGCGATTGATTGTATGTTGTTCCCGCGGATAATAACCATCCAGACCGAAATTGCTGATGCCAATCGATTGTAGGAGCTCGCTGCCAATCTACCAGCTCTAGCGGATACCGATCCCCAGCGCCTCTCGAAGCATGTGGTCATCGACGAAAGCATTGCTCGACATAAGCTTTTAGAGAGTAGATGCAGCGATGCGCTCCAGTGTATTAACGCTCTATTACAAGAGCGTGAGGAGCTCCTGGACGAGGTGAATAATTGGAGGAGGAACAATGGCGCCCTGATGCGGCAGCCAAGGCCACTCAACGTCAATATGGACGCATTTGCCGAGACAGAGAGAGAGTCGCGACGGCGCGTCGCCTTGCAATTGGGCCGACCGACCAGGAAGAGCTCTGAGCAGTCTGGCGGGCCTACCGACGAGCACTCGCAGGCTGGGTCATCGACAAACAACCAGACAGACGAAGCCGCTCAGGTCCCTCGAGTTCTACCTTCGGAGCCCACACAAGATGCTCGCGCGGTATCAGAATTGAACAATCTATTGCTTGATACATCCTGGCCAGAAGAAACCGAGTCACCGTCGGTTCGCATCTTTTCAGGAACAGTTATGGAAAGCTTAGCCATGCCAGACCAGGGCACAGCAATGTCATCCAACGCCCAGTCAGAATCAATGCCTGTTTCAAGTACGAACATCACTGATTACCAGCTTCTCAGAGGAATCGATCATGATCGGCGAGGAATGTATCAAAATGGTATGCTCATGGACTTCTCATCGACTGGGACGCCCACGTTCGACGGTATGGATCCCTCGCAGGTACCTATTTCGCCTGCCTTTCTCGGGCCATCGGTCGCGAATCAAGACTTGCATTTTCAGCAGAAACAGCAGCACCAGCACCAGCAGCAACAACAATGGGCTTCTTGGCCAGGATGATCTATTCAGGGTCTATCATATGCTCATGCTACTGTGCGTGACGCTATCGCAGTTTAGATCTGCTTAAGGACCTCCTCAACCTTGGCCTTGCTTCTCTCCTCACCACCGATGAAGAGCTTTAGGGCGTCTGCAAGGCGAGTCGTGGAGATGGGGTCAGCTTCAATAGCCTTCGTCAGTTCAGCACCTCCATTGGCCAGATAGTCAATGTCGGTGCTTGCAAGCTTGCCGTCCCATTCAGCAGCCGCCAAGGGATCGACATTGGCAAGCTTCTTGAGACGCTCAGGGCAAGGCCCGGCGTTCTTGTATACGTGCACCGGCTTAGGCGTACCCTCGCCGGGCTGCTTGGTGCCATCGTACTCAAGCTTGGCCAGCTGGTCGAGGACGGTGTGTGAGATGGTGGCGGAATGGCAGCCCATTTCGCCTGCTGCCATGGCTTCCTTCGCGGAGATGAAGCTGGCGTTCTTTACCAAAGGCTGTTCCTTGCCGGTTTCCTTGTACAGACGCTTGTATGTCTCGATGATCTGGACAATGCGGGCGGACATGGGGTGCTGCGTCGCAGGATCCTCGACGTTGGGCCAGAGAGTGTCTGGCTCGTCATGAGCTCTCACCTCTGGTTCTCAAGTCAGCGTCACTCTACGTGCATCTCATGCGCAAACTTACCATTATAGTACGGGCTGATGTACAGCATGCCGGCCTGGCTGCAGGCGATGGCCTGGGGGAGACTGAAGAGGGCTGTGCCCAGCGTCGGGATTCCCTCAGAAGACAGGATCTTGGCAGCGTTGAGGGCAGGGCCGGTCGAGGGGATCTTGATGCAATATCTATCGCGTCCGATGCCTGCTCGGGCGAACTCACGGTCGTAGAGGCGGGCGTGCTCAAGGGTCTCTTGTGTCTTGAACGCGTTTGAGGGAAGGGTCTGCAGCAAGACACGGCCGCGAATGGAGTTGATGTTTTTCTTGCACATGAGGACGGCCTGTGGTTCTACATCAGCCTTGTAGTCTGCAACTGAGTGCATTGTGTTCGACATACCATGCGCGTATAGATGGCAAGCCAACCCTCATTCTTCAGCTCTTTCGCAGTCTCGAGGAACATGTCCCTGTTCGAAGCATCACCGAGCTGGATGTCCACCCACAATTGGTTGCTGGTCTGGTCGTGAGGGACGATGGGCATGCTCTTGATGTACTCAGGGTCCATCCAATCGACGTCAACGTTGACTATTCACATTAGCACGTGAGTGTTGGCATGAGGACATTGCTGTGTGACGCACGCTGCTCCTCGAGCTTGTCGAGCCAGGTCATGGCGCCTTTGCTTCCCATCGTGTAAAATTTCGCAATTGGGATTTCGTTGTAAGTGGAGGTATTGTTTCGGTATCGAATTGTTCGAGCTTGCCCATCTGCATTGCTAGAATACGTACAAGATAGCTCCTTTAATATCATGCCTCACCCCACCGGCCCGTCTGATTTTTGGACCTGTACAGGACGAACACACGACGCCCTGCGTGTGTCTGTTTTCTTCGTCATCGGGCGTCTCAACGAGTCCATTCCGAGAATCACTTGGCCAATGATGAGACATCCTCAGAGCCCCCTCAGGATGCCACACACAGGGCAGCGGGAGCACACACGCAGGGCATTTGGGACCCCGCACCTTCTAGGGTGCACCCCGGTCATCGTCTGATCACACATTGGAGGCCGGTGGGGGTCAAAGAGGATACTCTGGGGTAAATGTCCCGGAATACCACCATGTTATTTCCTGCCCCCAAACACTGACCAGTGGTGTGGCAGCTTGCGTGACGGCTTTCCTCTTGAGGTAGATCCCAACAGCCTCGCAGAATTTCATGAATGCATTCAGGGGCAGTTGAGTAGGTAGTGTTGGGCAGATGCAAGTGACAAACCCGGAAAACAGCTCAGGGAGCTATGATGCTGGCCGTGACATCTTACCCCACCTCGGTGAACGATTGCCGGCTCAGAGCTACTGGGCAGGTCCAAGAAGTCAGACGACAAGGTTTGCAACCGGCACTCATCCATGATGCCCTGCACAGGACAAGAAGCTAGCGCCTGTGCAGGGCAGTCTACTAGTGCGTCTTAGTCTCGTCTCCAAGACCTCCAACCCGTCCAGTTCATGGACACACACAGGGCAACCCCGCAGGATCCCCAGGTTTCGAACAAACATCGCTGTCGTTCGGCCCTGCGCAGGCCATTTGCGACAGCAGATTTTGGTCACGGGGTAAGGGGCCGAAGGATTCGCAACACCCGTTCAACAGCCGATTGATGCTTGTTGGTCTGACGTTGGTGACGAACACTCGGGAGCAAGCTAGATCCAGCTTACCCCATGGGGGAGGGGACGACAAGTGGGCAAGGATGCTTTCGGAAGAGTTGGAGTGGGTTATATAAGAGCCTCCGTGGACTTTTAACTTCACGACGTAGAAAACTTAGCATTATTGACAGCTCTCTTCAATGATTCCTCTGCTTTTTGTTCAACACCAAGAGTATCATCATGTCTCGTGTTTCTGACGTCGAGGGCGATGTGAAGTCCAAGCTCGATGTGAGCCATGTCGAGCACAGTGGTGCCGACTATTCACGGAACATCAATGCAAAGTGAGAGGTCGACCATTTGAGACGCTGACATGAAGCTAACCTCCAGCCATAGGATCCGCAATCCTCTGATCGGCATCTCTAGTTCAGATCTCCGAGTTCAAGTCACTGGCTTTTGTCGTGAGTTTGGCTTCGAAGAGAAAGAGAACGTCTTCTACCGTGGGGCGCTCGCTGCGCAAAACCCTGAGAATTATGAGAATATCGACGACCTCACCGAAGACGATAAGCATGTCCTTCACCGCGAGGTCACGCATAAGTGGCATCTTCCCAAGGACCTTTACTACAGCATCGCTCTGTGCTCTCTCGGCTCCGCAATCCAGGGCTGGGATAACACAGGTGCCAATGGCGCCAACCTCTCATTCCCTCAGGAGTTCGGCATCGAGAACAACCAAGCGCTTGTTGGAGTCATCAACGCCGGTCCGACCTTGTTTGGTCTGCTGAGTGCTTGGGCAGCAGACCCAATCAACAACTACCTTGGTCGACGGGGAACCATCTTCCTCACTGGCCTCTTCTGCGTGTTCCCAGTACTCGCCCAGGCCTTTACGCAGAACTGGTGGGGTTTGATGATTTGTCGGCTCTTCATGGGCCTTGGCATGGGCATCAAGATCTCAACCATCCCGATTTACTCAGCCGAAGTTGCCCCTGCTGCAATTCGTGGAGGCATCGTTACGAGCTTCCAGTTGTGGGTTGCCTTTGGTATCTTTGTTGGCTTCTGCTCCAACCTGATCTGGTACCGCATTGGAGATCTTGCATGGCGGTTCCAGCTAGCTGCTGCTTTTGCTCCTGCCATTCCCGTTCTTATCTTCGTCTGGATGTGTCCAGGTAAGTGATCGACTGTCCTCAAATTCCAAGATTGTATGAGCTAACAGTCATCTAGAATCTCCACGCTGGCTTATGAAAAAGGGTCGATACCAGGAGTCATTCAAGTCATTTTGCCGAATCCGAAATACTGAGATGATGGCTGCCCGTGACCTGTACTACGCACACCGGCAAGTCATCGAGGAGAACAATGCCTTTGGCGGACAGACACTCCTCCGCCGTATGAAGGAACTCCTGACTGTGCCCCGCTTGCGTCGAGCAACCGTCGCCTCATCTTGGATCGTCATCTCTCAGCAGTTCTCAGGCATCAACATCATGGCGTTCTACAGCTCTACGATCTTTCAGCAAGCAGGCTACTCAGATAAAGACTGCCTTCTGGCTTCCATGGGTTTCGGTCTCATCATGTTCGTCTTTGCATTCCCGGCTGTATACATGATGGACACTTTTGGGAGAAGAAACCTGTTGCTCGCCACCTTTCCCTCAATGGCATTCTGCCTCTTAGCAGCTGGGCTGAGCTTCTTGATGAACACAGGGTCAAGTGCGAGGGTGCCACTGATCGCCTTCTTCATCTATCTTTTCACGGCGATGTATGGACCTGGTAAGTGCCCGAGATCTCTGATGCAGATACAACACTTTGCTTACGATCACCAGGAATTGGCCCATTACCGTCAATCTACTTCTCCGAAGCTTTCCCGCTGTCTCATCGCGAAATTGGCTCGGCTTTCACCATCTGTGTGAATAACGCCATCGGAAGTGCTCTCACGCTGTCGTTTCCCGAACTTCTTCACAAGATCGGACCAACCGGTGCATTTTGCTTCTATGCTGGTCTGAATCTGCTTGCGTTCTTCGTTATCTTCTTCATCATTCCAGAAACCAAGTAAGTGACCGTCCATCTTTCTTCGCAAACTATTTGCTGATATCTATCAACAGACAACGCACCTTGGAAGAGCTTGACTACATATTTGGAGTTCCTACCCGTCGCCATGCAGCATATCAGGTCCGCACATGGCTTCCTTGGGTGATGAAGAGATATCTGTTCTTTCAGAAAGATGCTAAGCTGGAGCCATTGTACCATTTAGAGTAGCGAGGCTGTCATTGTGAAGAGCCTCGAGAGGACACTACGTATTTTTGAATTGAGTTTCGTCTCGCACGATGTCCCATGTCGAACCTGCACCTTACAAGTGATTTTCCATTGCACACGTGTACCTCCGGCCATCTGGATGGTCAGTGATTATAGCAGAGGCCGTTGACGACGACGACAACAACGACGACAACAACGACGACAACAACGACCATAGCAGTATCGCCAATAACAAGAAGTACAGTGGTATAGTTCTGAAATCTGAATCTTTATCCCCCCCCTAAAGGGAATAGACTAGTGGGGGTACATATGTGAACACTCAATCGAGGTAGTTTTACGCCTGGCAGCTGGCTAGCTGGAATTGCCGGGCCGGATAGCAAGACGGCCAGAATATTTCGTTCCTGGGGCTAGTGGGCCCTGGTCGAAATGATGTCCAAAGGTGCTTTCCTCACAAGGTGTACCTAAAAAGAGGTGATCTGTCTCCCATCATTTGAAGCTCATCATCCGAATATTTGGCTCTGATTTCCTCCTCAGTAAACTTGTCTCTTTTGCGGTTGATGTTCCAGAATAGGAACTCCAACACAAAGCAAGCGACGACACCGAGCCCGGCAAATGCAAATGACGAGCCAAACCCTGTGGGATATTTCGGGCTCTCCTCCTCGCGATAAATGAAACTGCCCACAATCCCACCGATACTTCCTAGACAGATCATATAGGCGATTCCCTGAGCACGTTTCGTAGGCCCTGCGAGATTGTTGACGGTCCACGCATTGCCGCCAGGGTTGATTGGGTAGAAGCCAATACTGGCCAGGAAGATCGCAAAGTAGCAAGCCGGGATGTTCTCTTGGATGTTTTCCGCTTTGGAGAACAATATGGCAAACGATATCAGAACCAAGACTTGGGCAAAGACAATGAAAGGCATCCTCCACTTGAACCTGTCGGAAAGCGACGAGGAAACGTAGGCGGAGATGGCTCCAACGATGTACGGAGGAATGGTTAGGAGTTGGGCATTGCTACTGGTGTACCCCATGTTCTTGATAATCTGGGGCATTGTGAATTTCATCCCAAAATTCGGCACCGTGTTAGACCAGTAAACCAGGGCCTGAAGGTAAAGTTGCCAGTCCAGCAAAACGGAGCGGAGGATTTCCCATTTGCGCGTCTTCTCAGCCTCTCTCACACGTATGCTGTTGCCTTGGACTGCATACTGACGCAGTTCAAGGTACTTCCTCTCGTCAGCGTCCAGCCACCTTGTTGAGAGGGCAGGTGTGTCGATAAGTAAGAAGAAGGTCGCAACGCCAGCGACGACGGAAGCGATCCCTTCGATGATGAAAATCCACCGCCAGCCCGCGATGCCAGCGAGTCCATCCATCCGCACGATGACAAATGCAAGAAGGCCAGAGAAAGCGCCAGCTAGAGCGCTGGCACTGTAAATTATTGCGATTCGCGTTTGGGTCTCGTGTGGGAGGTACCATCTCGATATAGTGTAGACCGCTCCGGGGAAAAAGCCAGACCTGTTGATTGCCCATTGTCAGTTTGTACTATTCAGGACCGACTGCAAATGTTGGCTGATCTTACTCAAACACACCAAGCAGAACTCTGACTGCAATGAGACCTCCAAAGTTCTGTACGAGGCCGGTCAGGGTGATAATAGTGCCCCATCCTGTGACCAAAATGCCCATGTAGGTTGAGGGGCGCTTGAACTTCAAGAGGAGCATGTTACTAGGTACCTCTTTTCAAGTGAATGAAGAGTCAGCGGTGGATAAGCCGAGAAGAGGGCCGACTAGTGGTCATACCAAACAAGATGTATGTGATGAAGAAAACACAAAGTGCAATATTGTATTGCTGTCCCGTGAGATTCAAGTCCTCAGGCAGGCCTTCGATCTTGGCGTTGCCGATGTTGGCTCGGTCAAGGAATGAAATTAGGTAGAGCAACCCCAGCAATGGAACCAGGCGCCAGTCGAGCTATCAACAGGGGGTCAACTACTAATCTTTAAAGCAATTGAAGAGAACAGGAACTGACCTTTCGCATCACTCTCTTCTTTCGGTCTTCGGGGAAGTTGTCAAGGAATGCTTGATCTTCCGGAGTGAGTTCGCCAACTACCTCCTGGTGGACGAAATCGCTCCCTTTGTCAACGTTGGAAGCCGCATCGGAGATGGGCTCGACAGCCTCGGGTCGTCGTTCCGACATCTTGAAGACAAAGTTATGTGAAATCGCCCTCGACAACGTCAAAACGTGAATGTTTCGCAGAGTGTTGAAACGGCTCAAGACGGCGATGATATAGGTTTGCTTCAACACATAGTGCGATAATGGAGACGGAGGAAAAGGGACGGAGGCATTTTTGTAGTTCTCATCCAGTCTCAATGAGTCCTTGCTATTACCCCAGAACAATCCCAGTAAGGCGGTGGAGCAGCAGATCGGGGAGTCGAGCACCCCGTGGGGTTGATCCGAGAGCCAGTGGCCAGGAGATCACATTCTCTGATGATTGCTGGCATCGCAGCCAATGTATTTCGGATGGTTGCGTTTACCCCGATAACAGGTCGGGATTGGGGCGCTGTCGGAAAATAGTCTCGTGCGTAATTTGAAGGTGGGCATCTTTTCCGACGACTCATCGGAGATGTCGGAAAATCATGTTGTGAGCGGAATCTTGTTTGATGAGGTGAACTCATCGCGGATCGGCTTTAAAGGAATACTAGGGACAGCTAAATTACGTGTGACATATTAATCAGCCGATTGTGGTGAACAAGGCATCCCAGACCGTTGCCGAGAGAGACGTCTGTCCACCGAACTGACCTCTGCCTGGATGAATCGACGGAATCAACCGGGGCCATACCACACTGTGACAGTGCTATTGTTTAGCTATAAAATTCCGAAGAAAAGTCTTCTACCTCAATGACAAGCCATGAGACGAATGCTTTGGCGGAGGCTTTCTGACGAACCTGTTCCGAGGTCGGGATACTTGGGGGCCCCCTCGCTCATCATCGCCGGAAGAGCATATATGCGACAGACTACTGCCGCCTACGTATAAAGACTGTTCTAGTGGTCGAAGTCTGTCAAAACCCAATCCAGATCTCCATATTGCATTGTGTCCTCTTATCGCTGTCATTATGGCTCAAAACGGCACCCACGACGATATTGTCATCGCCTCCTACCCGGATCTTAGGGACAAGATTGTCTTCCGTAAGTTTATACTTATAAAACAAACCAGAGACCATACTGACCTGGTATGGAAACTTGAAAAGTTACCGGTATTGGTCAGTCAGGCAACCAGGAAATGTGGGGGAATGGAGCCGCCACGGCACGCCTCCTAGCTAAGCAAGGAGCCAAGATCTTCGGCTGCGATCTCTACCTGGAGCCTGCTCAACACACGCAAAAGAGTATCGTTGTTGAGGGCGGAGACGTGACCGTTGTGGCTGCGGATGTCACAAATGATGACAGTGTCAAGTCGGCAGTGGACGCGTGCTTAGCCAAGTACGGCCGTATCGATATCCTGATCAAGTATGGCCACTGAGACCTTCGCATGAGGCGGATATGTGCTAACAAACTTCCAGCAACGTTGGCCGATCAGAGCCTGGTGGCCCCGCTGAAATGACAGAGAAGGCCTGGGATGCTCAGACCAATGTCAACCTCAAGTCTGTCTACCTCTGCTGTCACCATATTCTTCCCCTGATGGAGAAACAAGGCTCAGGAGCTGTGGTAAATGTGGCGTCGATTGCCGGTCTGCGGTATATCGGCAAGCCCCAAGTTGCATACGCCGCCACCAAAGCCGCCGTCATTCAATTCACTAAGGCCACGGCGGTTATTTACGCATCCAAGAATATCAGGATGAACGTGGTCGTGCCCGGTCTCATGGACACACCTCTGGTTGGTATGCTAGCCGACAAGTATGCCGGTGGCGATGTTGAGGGCTTCAAGGCGAAGAGAAACAAAGCTGTACCTATGGGCAGGATGGGTGACTCGTTTGATGTCGCCATGACGGCTCTGTTCTTGGCCTCGTCACAATCCAGATACATCACGGGTCAGAAGATTGTGGTGGATGGCGGTATCACTTCGTCTACCGGTTGAAAATTAAGCGATAAGACACAAATAAGAACACTCTACAGTTGCCTTTTCGAGGCTAACCCAGACCCGGTCCCCTTCTCGTAGCATTTGGAGTATTGTCGAAGCCTATGTCCAAAATCATATCAAAATCACTGACAGATCCAAAAGAAGTCAATTGGAAGCCTTGTTGCTCTCCAAAGGCTCCTGTGTGTGGCTGTCCAAGCGGTAAATGGTTGGATTCTATGGCTCCCGACATTCCAAACATGGAGATATCGGTTGGTCTCATTTGAGAATGAGATGTAGGCGCAGAAATCTGCTGCATGTTGTCGTTGAGGACAATTTGATCTTCTGATAATGTCTGCGACGTCAAAAAGTTCGAGATAGAAACTTGGTCTGAGTGGCTCCACGGGGAATTTCCACTTTGCATGACGACCTCGGCATTGCCGACTGGTGAAGTTGAGTTCATATGCCTCACAATGTGGACTCGCGAACAGGATTCCTGCAAACATCAGACAACCAATCCAGCCTTAAATAGAAATATCCAAGACGTACTTCAAGTAGCTTTTGATCGTTAATGTGAGCGCCATAATCAAGCTCTCGGTGCACCTTCATAGCGTCCTCAATCGCCGCATGAACCTTATCCGTGTCATCAGAGTCTTGGTAAAGAATGCAATAGACGAGAAGAATTGATGTGGCGCAGAAGAGAAAGTGGGAGGTTGTCTGTGTCTGTGTCAATATCACTCGGTAAGGCCAAGAAGGCTTCTACTCACCCAGAAAGCGGCGTTGTACTTGCATTCATCTGCGCCCACATTGGTCGCAAGAGACACCATTGCAAGGGCGTTGTCAACGCATGCTCTGATACGACCAGAGCAGGAGCTCGAGGACGGCGTACTCGGCGTCTGGTCGAGAAATTCTCGGAGCAGGTAGCCTCGGTATATCATCATCTTGTTGAAAAGAAACGCAGCCTGCGTGGTTCGTTGCTGCCTCCGCAACACCCACGAAATTTCGTAGAACTCTTGATCCCCGCCCTTTTCCTGTTCTTGCCGGGGATGAAAGAAATCAGGGGTATCTCGGAGCCAATCATCAATTTCTCGTTCCAGCTCGGTCACAATTTGCTCTTGAGACTCTGGCGTGTGGACTGCCCCGAGGTAAAGTCTGGAAATGGCGAGCCCAAGTATCTTGGTTAGTCTGCATGGAAGAGTTAGAAAAGCCATATGGCTTACTAGCTTGAGTATACTGGCCTGGCATGAGCAACAACTCCTGTGATTAACCGTTTCTCTGTCGTTGAAAGGTAGCATTCGATGGTGGGGTTTAGAACGTGCGGATATGACATGTCAACATCCGAATCATGTATCGCCATCGGTCTACCGAGAATGGCAGCGAGGTATCTATAGCGAGGGAATTCCATGCTCAGCTACTTCTCGAGTCTTCAGAGAGGGAGAAATAATAATCACCGATCAATCATAAACATAGCCCAAAAAAGGCATCGCCTGAAGTGACCTTCGATGGGATCACACAGGTTCTGTTCTCGGTGGATATCTACCATTTGGCTTAGTCTTACAGCGCAGCCTAGTGACATCCAGGCGCTGTTAAAGCGACCAGATCCCACCTCAAATTGACACTGGAAGCTGATCAGCCAAGTCTGTGACAAGTGTGGAAACGCACGAACCTTCAGCATGACTGCTTGAATGTGTCTCACGGAAGGAGGGAATTGACCTTGAGTCTTTGCGAGCCTTGTCTCAGCAACCTGTAGAAACTTGTATCTATCTAAAAGTTAGCGAATGCTGTACTAGTGATTCTCAAGGTCAATTAACGCACGACTTCTGTCTCCAAGGCGGCAATGGTTCGTTCTTCCAGGATGACATACATAAGCATCTTACTTTCGATTAATATCTATACTGCCGTACGTGTTGAGAAAGAAACTTTACCGAATAGCCATGACCGAAAACAACACTGCCATCCGGTCGTGGTCTTTTGTGACTGATTGATCGTCGGCATATACCTTTTCGAATGTGTCTACGACTTCACGACGATAGACACATCGATATGTTACGGAAGCATGATCGAAGAAACAATCGACGTATCCCTGAGTGATGGTCTTTGGCGGAAGGGAGAAGATTGAGGGATCGTTCGAATCCAAGAGATCTCGTTCTCTGCTGAATAGACTTCGAGGGAGACCTTGGCCGACTTTGGCAAGATGGTCCGAGACGCGGCGAAGAAAGCCATGAGCACTGGCATCCCCTTCCGAGGCCAACCGGGCAGTGGTTGGTGGAATCGACTGGCTATTCTCAGTGTGCGGATCTTGGTTTTCTTCTTCGGTCCTTTGAGAAGAATTGCTGGCATTGGATGACTTGGCAGCGGTTCTGGAGGATGTTCTTGCTTTACCGGCTGTGACGCGGCCTCGGCGTTGCTATTTGCCTTGTCAGTGTTTGTAGGGTCAGTCCTCTCCGTTTGGCCCCTATTACCGGATTCAACCTCTGGACACGATTGTATGACGAGACGTAAGTACAGTCTGGTGTGAACAACGCAGTGATTAGCTTTGAAGCAGAGTGGAAGACTCGTGTTCGAGCTGTACCTATTTCAGAACTCAGGCAACGGCCGCAAGGCTCGCGACCATCGCATTTAGACTTCCTTTTCTTGCAGGCACTTTGAAGGCTGTCAGAAACAGGAAGGATAGGCGGAGCAGACTGGGAAAACGGGAAACCAACTCGCAAGCCCTGCAGCATTGTTAACATCTTGCCGGAAAGAAGAGCTGTGTGACTAAGGTAAGGTACTGACCGAGTGACGTTTTTCTTTTTGGTGGTTGAGGTTGAGACTGGAGTAGATTGATGGTGGCCACATGCTTGATGACACTAACACAGTCTCAAGTCTTGGCAGCAACATGTGCTATGAATAATATGATCGTAAGATTGGGAACGGCTTGCATATATTGATTACATGCATTTGTGTTGTGCGCCCGTTTCTCTCGTTTACTGGCCCTCGTTCAACCACCCATATTTGCGAATGCGAATCCTAGCCTGTTTTCATCATGAATCGTCAAGTAAGAACATGGCATGGGATTCCCGCGTGATACCCGATTCTCACATTAGTACGCTATTGGAGGGTACGTGAGCCGTCGTCAGATGATTACGCGGTTCCATACATAGCCCTAGCAGTAGTGGAATAGAGAGGAAGGCTGCGTTGGTGCTAAGCCGACGCAGCCTGATCTGGATAGGCATGGCTTTGGGACTCATTCGTACAATGCCAGGATGGCTGAACAATCAATAAATGGCTCACAAGCCCCAAGTCGTAGGGAAGGACGGACCAGAATATTGCTTGGTGGACCGCATGATATTTCTTGGCAATTGACAGACCAATTTAAACATATCACCATATCGTAGGATGAGCTATATTCACCATGAGGGAGGGCTCACGTACAGACGACCCACCGTCTATAGATTGTATATCTCCAAGCTCTCCCGTTACGATTTGACGAGCTGATATTGAGAAAGCAGTTATCGACGGGGCTCCGGCACGCTTGGCAGACAAGGAGCTACCAGCACCTGAGATGGCACCTCCTTCCGCGATGGCAGACCCAGAAGCTGAAAAGGCTTATTTCTTGCCGATGCAAGACTCGGGGGCGGTTCAAAATCTCCACCAAAGGCTCCACGAGCTTGAGTCAAAAGTCGGTCTGGTTGACATAATGTACGACCTTCACAAGTCAACAACAGAAGGAATAGTTCATGAGCAGCACGATGCGTTTCTAGCGCGTCTATTTTCTGGCAAACCAAGTTTTCGTTATCAAAGATACAATGGCGAGGTAACATTCCTCAAAGATAGCATGTTTTTCATGCAGAGAATTCGTGAGTCATATCAGGCGATTCTCGAAATGGAGAGGGAGCGAGATGAGAATCGAAGAAGAAGAACAAAGAGAAGACGAAACGCTATCGAGTCAGTTGCAGCAAGACAGATCAGTACGAAGGCGTTCCTGAACGGAGAGCGCGCCAAGCTGAGCCAGGCAGATTGGGTTGATTTTATAACGGACACAGACTTTGAAGCGTCAATCCTTTACCCGATCGAAGTCGTCGTTGGAGAGCCAGAATCCAGGACAATCTTGCAACTTACCGGACCAAAACCCCGCAAATCACGCTTCGTTGAACGACAGCTGCCTACTGGAGAAGATGAAGATACAAGAAGGAATCGGGCATTGCCTGAAAGAATTAAGATCTATCAGCACCATTGATGGTCATAATGTCAAGGCTGACGAAAGACGCTTATTGGACAAGCGATTTGGGCGGCGCAGTGATGCTATTGCGTCCATACCAAGACCTGTTCTACTACGATGCACCACTGAGGCAGTGGCTAGCTCGCCTGGAGAAAGACTTTGAAGGATATGATGGGTCAATAGACCCCCCGGGGGTCTCTGCGGACAGTGGCGAGAACGATCACAATGACGATGACACAGGATCTCCTACACGCGAAAGTTCAGTATCGATTTCTGCCGTACAGCATGTGGTAGCGGAAATGGGAATTCCCGGGCAGAGCAACATCGACCATGAAAGTTTTCCCCATCGAAATCAAGATAAGACTTCCGACAGAGCAGACGACGACCCCGAGAGCATTGATGAGGACTCGGATAGCGACGAAGATGGCTTTAGTGCTCGCGAGAAAACGTTGGCTAATTCTATAACGGCTTTGATCCATCTCCGAAGTCTTTTGGAGTTCGTTGACAATGAGATCAAGCCCAGGCGAGAGTATGTGGAGAGTACCATGTGCAGTCATGTGAGCTTTCAAGACTTATGGCACCTCTTCAATCCCGGTACAGAAGTCATTGATCAGGGGGGGAGACAAGCCTTCGTCGTACTGAGGGTCGAGGTTCCAGCTCACAAGATCGAGGAGCCTTGGGGACGATGGAGCAAGCGGTTGAATGAGGATTCCGAAGAACAGGCCACCAAAGATCGATCTAATTTTACTCTCCATTGCGCATCTATAGACTTTGACGGGAAGAACTTTGGCCCTGTCTCGAAGGCTTTCATCATCTCTCCATTCGGCGATCTCAAGCCCGTCGTGTCCCTCCCAATCTACCCTGTCCGGTTCAAAGGACAAGAGACACGACAAAACCTCATTCGAAGAGGCCGACTTCTATTAGAGGTTGCGGACTTTAAAGCCATGTACTATACCGGGGCTACTCTCGACAAGGGGGATGATAGTCAAGTGGTAAGAGACTTCAGCGAAGCACTGGCAGATGAACAGAGGTCAGCGGCTTGGAAGCCTACCATTTGTCCTGTCAACACTGCCCCGGAAGATCGACGACATGTGTCCTGCAACGCAATATGCTGCCGTTTTCATGGAACATGCGACGGATTCATGACTGACCTAAAGATGACCACGGACTACATCGAATCACTGGTACCAGATCCTGGAGGTCGATCCCTCATCTTATCGCCGAGGTCTCTAGAGGAAACAATTGGTTCTACTGATGAGCTTACAGAAACAGAGCTTCTCATCATGACTTACAGAGTCTTCGGCTTCGTCCTCCGAAGTCGCAAATGGGGTGAGATTCCATTTTACCACTTTGACTCCACACATACTCGCCACCCTTTGTGAGCTCGCTGACGTTTTCCATGCCCTTAGCCCAGCTTGACCTGAATCTAGTACGATATGAAAATTCTAGTGAAAGGGACCTTACTATAGATGCCTTCGAGCGACTCGAGTTACCGGAAGGCCATCGAGAGCTGGTCCAATCTCTTGTCACACAGCACTTCCGCAACAGACAGTCCTCATTCACAAGGGACGAGCAGACAGACCTAATTAAAGGCAAGGGTATGCATCAACTTTCGCTACTTAACGATAGGCACTGCAATACGTACTGACGACACATTTAGGCAAAGGATTGATCATGTTGTTGCACGGTGCTCCTGGCGTCGGCAAAACAACTACTGCAGGTGAGTCACGAAAGGGCAATAATCGGCACAGACCTTTGAACAAGCTCTGCTAACAGATACAGTCAACAAGGTGCGCCTCCAGGCGGCAAACTGCGAAGAAGAAAACTTAGAAGGGAAGAAAGAAGCTCTGCTAACAAAAGTGCAGAGGGCATTGCAGAACTATTTCGAAAGCCATTATTCCAGATTACTCGTGGTCAGTAATAGCCTACCATATTAGAAGCCTTCCGCATCTCATATTGACAACGCATTCCCTTTCGTTCAGGGGACTTGGGTACTACCGCCAAAGAAGTAGAGGAAGACCTCGAGAGAAGCTTTGCACTGGCAAGTAGATGGGGCTGCATTCTACTCCTCGACGAAGCAGACGTATTCCTCGCTGCGCGTTCTAAAAATGACTTCGCACGCAACGGCTTAGTGGCCGGTGATAGTGATGGCGTGAAGTCCAAAGCTGACTGAGCATATTGCATGCAGTTTTTCTTCGCGTTCTTGAGTACTATACCGGCATCCTGTTTCTCACCACTAATCGTATAGGGGATCTCGACGAAGCTTTCGCCTCTAGAATACAGATGAGTCTTCACTACCCAGAGCTTGATGAGCTCAAGACTCTGAAGGTGTTCAGACTTCATCTTGATCTCATCGAACAGAGATTCAAGAAGCAAGGTCGAACGATTACATTCGACATATCATCAGTCGAGGACTTCGCCAGCCAGCATTACGCTGATCAACCATACAACCGATGGAATGGACGGCAAATCCGCAATGCTTGTCATACTGCTTTAGCGCTCGCAGAATTTGATGCGCAGAAGAATGGATCAGAAATCAATTTGGAGATTGACAAATCCGCACCCGTGTCACTCCAGCTCAAATACTTCAAGATCGTCCAGAAAGCCTATCTCGACTTTGGCGAGTACTTGGCTGATATTTAGGGCACTGAAGGCGATGACAGAGCATTCCAGCAACGACTACGTGCAAGGAAAAACACTCCCTTTGAGAAGCAAAGACTGTTCGACTCCCGACCGGGACCCGCACAACGCCGACGACCACACCACGCTAACAGCAGATTGTCGGACATGTCACCTTCCTTCACCACAAAGACTGAAGTATTTCACCATGACCAGCATCGCCACCAGAGACAATATTCTAGCACAGCTAGTTCACAAGCGCAAGGCTACGGGAACGCAGCTCCGTATAACCAAACCCCAGGTGGTAGCTTCAGAGATTATGGGAACTCACCGGCGCATGATCAACAGATGCACGGCCAGCAGGCTCAGACGGATACTCGTTTCCCGATGGAGAGGCAGCAAGCTCCCCTGTACGAATCGCCGCAGGCTGGACTGCAACCTGCACATTCTGGAGAGGCTCATCTACACCCAAGTATGAGCCACGATGGTTCTCCTCTGCCCCTTCGTCCTGCTCAGCCGCAGTCAATGCAGTATGGGTACAACAGCGAGCTTCAGGCGGACGCAATGCGGAGCACAACTCCAAGAGTACAGTCAGATCCCAGAGAAATCCCTCATCCAGGCTACACGTACAGAGATGGAGCCCAGAGCGGCCCGAATAGAGTCCCTTACCAAGGAGGCAACATGCCTCAGGCATGATCTTGGCACAAGGGGCAGCGTCACGACCAAGACTGTACGTGCTGTCAGGTGTCGTTTGTATTTGGATGTCAGCCTTCGGTTAATAAGATTGTTTGCTATTTGCGGTATCGCGGACTTTTCTGGTTTTGACGAATTGATGAACCTTTTCTTACCTCGTTGAACTTTCATAGAACCAAATTGAACCACTCTCATTAATCGCACTGAGGCTTTTTCATCATGCAGTCCTTGCAGTAGCTAGTGCAAGCGGTTGAGACTTTAGCCGCCCCACATGAAGTCGAGAGTAGGACATCAAGACTAAGTATGGGCCACAGTCTAGAACTCATACTCACTCAGAGGACCAACTTCACCGTATGAAGGCCTGCCCACGCACCTTCTAGGGTCCCTTGTGGCAGATGAACTTTCCTGCGGTAAAAACAACACAAGCACGAATACACTAGATCCAGGTCTAATCAGAATATAAACGGTCTTATCAACTTCTGGCAAGCATGCGACCTCTCGGCCGGCGTTCTAATAGGGGCCGCTCCGTGACAGGGAACTCTGCTGAACCAAAAGCGCCCTTGACGGAAAATAAGGGGTACTTCAATATCGACAACATTGCCCGATTTCCTTTCACTCCACGTCACTCCACGCCAATCTGGCAAATGGAATTAGTACCACCAACCATTTCCCGTTGGAATCATTCTGCTTATTTTCAATGGCTCCTAAATCTTGGACGATTAGACATCCAGGTTTCTAGCGTAGACAGAGCACGCGGGGCTTGGCTTCTCCTGTTCATCCCATTAACCCTTGCTCTAGACTTAGCATCAACACGTGCCATGGCATCGGATCATACATCCGTCATTCAAATAACCTTAAGCTAATGAGGAAGCATGGTAATTGGTCTTTAACAAGATCACAGCCCTGTAAATGGATACGCTTGACGAGTACAGTCAAATGAGACGGTGTTGAAACTTGTAAACTCTGTATTCAGAGGCGAAATATTACTCCACTAGGAAAGCCCGGTAGATAGACTAACACAAGTGCACTACTACCGCGAGTCAAGTTACGCGCGCGCGCGACTACACTTGTAACAAGATAGGGGGAAAGATCTATGCGCAAGATGACTAAGGCCAATTTTCTGTAGTATAATCTGTCGGATCCCGACCTGATCTTCGGCGGTAAGGCAAAGACCGGTATGAACGTCAGCCATCATGTTGATTGGCGCTAGCTCTCTCTGGCAGGAAACTGGTCAGACAGCGTCAATATGGACCATCACCCTGGCATTTTGATCATGTCGCGAAAACGAGCATCGCTAAAGTCTTGGTGAAGGAAATGACATGGACTTGGGGCAGTGTTAAGACGTTGAATATTACGCGGCTGCCAAGCATCATGATATTTTGTTCTCCCAAGCCTTATTTGGGTCGCCGAGGGTACCTAAATCATGTCTTCCAAGAGACATAAATGCGGTTGGGTCCAAAGATGAGATGAATCTTTCATCCACAGTCACTCGTTCAGACAAGCCCAGTCTTCCCTTTACTGTTCTAAGATGCGTTTTGCTCATGCCATCATCGTCGCCTTGCTGGCCCAGAATGTCGTCTCTTACGACACTTCTCTTGGCTTCAACACACCCCAAGTCAACGAGAACCGCACTATCGACGAGATCTACCAAGCAGCCCTCGCAGAAGGCGGTGTAGTCACCTGCTGGCACGGCGGTGACGAAGTGAATCAACAAGACGGTCTGAAGCGTGCCTTCGAGACACGCTTTCCGGGCATGACACTGAACGTCACGGTCAACCGCTCTAAATATCACAGCGTCAACATCGACAAGCAGCTCGCTTCAGGCCAACCTCTCGAAGTCGACACAATCATCCTCCAAGCCCTTCAGGACTACCCCCGCTGGGATGCTCAGGGAGCGCTTCTGCACTACGCGCCGAGCAACTACATGAAAGTTCTGGCCCCTTTCAGACACATTCGCGCCGCATACTACGGCTTTGCCATGAACGCGTGGTCAACCGTCTGGAACACGCAGAAGCTAGCGAACCCGCCACGCGAGTGGCCTGACTTTCTGAAGCCGGAGTACAAGGAAAAGATCGTCTTGACGCACCCAAGCGATGACGATGCGATCGCATACATCTTCGACCTCGTGTACGATGCTTGACTCACTCAAAGAGAAACATTGCTAACCTCTTTCAGGATGAATCAGTACGGCCCCGAATGGTTCGATGGCCTCTTGGCTAATAATCCCCGCTGGGTTCGCGGCACTGGCTCGCCTCTGGCCGTCCTCCGTCAGCCCAACAGCACGCAGTCCGTGACTTTCACCGCTAGTATCGGTCTCCGGGCCTCGGGAAGCCTCAACGCATCGTTTCCTGCCGAGGGACTCTTTGTCAGCTGGCCCAGGTCCGTTGCCATTTTCAAGGACGCACCCCACCCCGAGTCTTCCAAGCTCTTTGCCAACTTCCTCTTGAGTGATGAGTTCCAGCGCAACTCGTCGCAATGGAGCGCCCGCAAGGATATTACTGCCCCTGGAGGCTACCCCGGTATTCTGGATATGGACACGACCAACTCTGCCGAGTATCTTCGCTTCATGTCGGATCGTGGTAGAGTGGAGGCTCTTCGAATGATGTTCGAGGATAGAATTGGTATGCCGCAAGGCCCCAGCCCTCTGGTCGATGACCTTTGAGTCAAATGTCTCTGGTGGATCATGGGGTCTCAGTACGAAATACGGCAAAGATCTCTGGCCAAGTCAATAATTCGGCCTTGACTTGGCAACGTCGTTGTCTATCATTCCGTGATCGTCTCTCTCACTAGTTAAACCATTATCAATTGTCTCCACACTGTTCTAGCCCCCCGGTGAAAACGTGCTTGTCGCATGATGTCGGGGTACAGATCTTTTAGGCGTACGCATGCGAGCCCGTTGGTGAGACTCTCAGCCAAGGAAAAGAAATTCGCAACTTTTACACAATGAGGACTAGCTCATCGCATGCAACTCTTATGCCCCCCAGACAACCCACACTTCAAAGTGGTAAGTACCGACCGCCGGCGTAGCACACGCGCTCCACGCATACCTGTACATGCAGCTCAACGGTCAGGCCCAGCTTGGCTGACCTTCTCAACTCACAACTCCCAACCAGTAAGACGTCGAAGATGAGCTCTTGGGAACTTGTTCAAGCCTGAAACCTCTGCGAGCCGTTCCGAAAACGACTTAGTCAGACGCCCGAGCCGAGGCATCCAACGTCGCCGAGTTGCGGGGTTCTGCGGGGCCGCATATCTCTACCGGCCGACTTGCAGGGCCAAGGGTTTCCCGTTGCGCTGGGTTTTGTTGGTTTCTGGGCGACTGGTAAATGGAGTACCATCCATCATGCCTGGTCCTTTCCTTGACCAGAAGAAATTGAAGGATTTCCACGATTCCCGTTGGCTCAAACCACAAGAGCCATCCTCACCCAACAGGAATTACCCGCCGGAAACAGACATAAGCCGCATTAGGCCCCTCATTCCAGACCTCGAGCTATCTTCCCTGATGCTATGTCTTGTCCCGAGGCTCGCCCCTTTTTTTCCCTGGCTCGCTATTGCTACAACTAGAGGGATTGCGGAGCGTCTTCCGACCATACCCAATTTGATGGAAACTTGCGAAATGGCGACCCTCACGTGGCATCGTGGGCCTTGGAACGCCCAGCTCACCGACTGTGGAATCTTGGTGATGGGGATTGCTTCAAGATGCGACTGGCGGAGGAATAACGGAGTCCATGACTCTGATTGAGGGAACCTTGTTGACGAGCGATTTTGAGGATCAGGGCCAGCTAGGTTAGTCGCTGCTTTCAGGCATAGATCGAAGCTCGTGAAGGATCAAAGTCGTCAGGGCTCTTGATGGGATGAACTGACATGTCACTTTGACATCTGTTCCTCATATCGCGAACTGACTGAGCTTGCATGAGTTGTCTTGCGAGATCTCGTACTTCTCATCTATTGATCAACTTCAAGAGACCTTGTACTTGGTACATCTCGCGGATCGACCTACGCCTGTCATGAAGTGTCAACTGTCAGGACGAAACGATGACAGCCGTGGAAACCGAACAACATAAATAGGGCTTCACGATCCTCTCAATCACGACTTGCTTTTGGATCATCAGACTCAAGCCCTCGCTCAGACTGACAGCTCCGCCTTCTCCTTCGCTCCAAGCCGACGCAGCACATTCTCTCAGAGACCACTCTCTTCAGACGACGCCCCGTCCCCAAACATTCAAAATGAAGTTCCTCAGCATCGTGTCCCTGGCCATCACCCTCGCCGCGGCGGCTCCCGTCGAAGTTGAGACCGGCGTCGCCCTCGAGACCCGTCAGTCGTCCACTCGCAA